ATTCAGGCCTGAGGGTTCAACGCGACGACAGTTACAGGATCCCGATGAGCCGTTTTGGTGAATAACGAATAACATGACCGGCGGGCCCCATACGAGGGGGTTCCCGCCTGAGATGTCCTCACAATCCACTCACCGACGAAGCTCCCGCTCGATACTTCCGCAATATTCAGGCTTGACGGAAACAAAAATGACGACAGTTACAAAATTCCCGATGACCCGCTCGGATTACCAACATGACCTGCGGGCCCCATAGGGAAGGGGCTCCCGCCTGAGACTTCCTCACAAGTCATTCACGGACGAAGGACCACCCTGAGATTTCCTCCATATTCAGGCCTGAGGAGGTCAACGCGACGACAGTTACAGGATCCCGATGACCCTCCTGAGACGTCCTCGCAATCCACTCACAGACGAGGCTCCAACTCGAGACTCCCTCCATATTTAGGCCTGAGGAGGCCAAAAATGACGACGGTTACAGGATCCCGATCACCCGCTCGGATTAAGAGCATGACCTGCGGGCCCCATAATGAGGGGGGTCCCGCCTGAGACTTCCTCACAATTCACTCACAGACGAGACTCCCGCTCAATACTTCCTCCATGTTCAGGTCTGAAGAAGCCAACGTGAGGACAGTTACAGGATCCCGATGACCCGCTCGGACTAGTAACACGACCTGCGGACTCTATAGGGAGGGGGCTCCCGCCTGAGACTTCCTCGCAATTCACCCAGTGGTAGTTATGAGTGAGTGAGTGACCCACTCAAGAGAAGTGAATGAGTGAGTGGGATAGTGAGTAAGTAAGTTATGGGTGAATGAGAGTGATCGAGGAAGTGTGAGTGAGTGTCTAAGTGATGATGATGTGGTGGCGGTGGTGATGATGATGATGTGTATGTGTGAGTGAGAGTGAGTGGTGAGGTAGAGAGGGGGAGGAGAGATCCTGCGCGGGTGGTATACAGAGAAAACAAAAGAACCCCACACTTAGAATGTGGGGAGAACATGTTCAACCACCCCCTCAAACTCGGACAACTGACCAGCTACTTCCTCAACCATCTCCTCAACGATTTCATCAACCATGTCCTCAACCATGTCCTCGAACGCTTCCCCCATCTCCAAAAAAACAAACACTTCCTTAACCACTTCTTCAAGTTCTGAAAGCTGAACGACTAAATCTTCAAGCGCTTCCCCAACCTCTGCAGGTCCAGCAGCCGCTTCCTCGACCACCTCCTCTACCCCCGAGAGCCACTCCCCAGACCACTTCATCTACTTCCACTACAACCAAAAGAAATAGCCTGACGACGGACCCGACAATATGCAGCTGCGAGTGCCGCGTTCTGGGTACCGCTTTCGGTGGAGATCCCTATGAGGCCACGAAGCGTGCGAGGGGCGCGCCGAAATCGGTGGCGTTGACGCCTGCTGACCCTGCCACTGGAGCCCCTGGTGGAACTCCCCATGGGGCAACCAAACGCTGTCCTGGGTGGCGTTGACGCATGCGGTCTGTGCCACTAGAGCCTTCGGTGGAGCTCCCTATGGGGCCACGAAACGCTATCCTGGGCGGCGTTGACACACGCATGCGGTCTGTGCCACTGGAGCCTTCGGTGGAGCTCCCTATGGGGCCACGAAACGCTGTCCTGGGTGGCGTTGACGCATGCGGTCTGTGCCACTGGAGCCTTCGGTGGAGCCCCCTATGGGGCCACGAAACGCTGTCCTGGGTGGCGTTGACGCATGCGGTCCGTGCCACTGGAGCCTTCGGTGGAGCTCCCTATGGGGCCACGAAACGCTGTCCTGGGTGGCGTTGACGCATGCGGTCTGTGCCACTGGAGCCTTCGGTGGAGCTCCCTATGGGGCCACGAAACGCTGTCCTGGGTGGCGTTTGAAGCATGCGGGTCTGTGCCACTGGAGCTTCGTGGAGCTACTATGGGGCCACGAAACTCTGTCCTGGGTGGCGTTGACCATGCGAACGGCGCCAATGGAGCCTTCCGGTGGAGCTCCCTATGGGGTCACGAAACGTTGTCCCGGGGTGCGTTGAGACGCCATGCGGCCTAGGCTGATTGAAGAGAGAGGAGGAGGAGGAGGAGGAGGAGGATGAGGGGAGGAGGAGGAGGAGGAGCGGAGGAGGAGGAGGAGGAGGAGAGGAGACGAGAGGAGAGGAGACGCGGGGCGCTGTCTCTTCAAAACGAGGACACAACACCACAGGATGGTTGGGAAAAAACAGAAACAAACGCTCTCCACTTCTTAACATTGAACAACCACTTCTCCCCTACACATCCAACAACCGTTCCCCAAGCGCCCCCTTAACTCCCCCCTCTACACATACAACAACCATTTCCCAAGCGCTCCCTCGACCCCTAGAATGTGAACTACAACTTCCTCAAGCACTTCCCCCGTTAGTACAAACACGCGCACCTACTGCGGCGGTCCAGCACTAGTTACCAACTCCGTCTCCAGCCAAATCTCAGCCGAGATAACTCATGTTGTGAAGCTGGGCGAACCCAAAGCTATCGCCGTAGGGCCGCGCACAGTCGTCCTGTAAGCTTGCATCAACTACACCTGGATGAAACACAGGTCGTTTTCTGAATGGACCTCCCGTCTGAGCGCCGCACACATTCGCCTGAAAAGTGCTGCAACAGATTGCAAAGACTGGAGCACAGGCCGATGTCAGACTGGAGCTCTCGCTTTGGCGCCGCGCGAACTCATCTTGCAGCAGCTACACGGATGGAAGGGAATGGTTTCCAAAATGGAACTTCCACCTGGGCACCGCGCGCAGTCGTACTAAACCTTGCGACGGTGACAAGAATGGAGACGGCTCATTTTTTAAAATAGGGCTCGCGTCGTAGCAGCGCGCACATTCCTGTCAAAAGCTTGCAGCAGC